AAAAAAAATGCAGTAATTATAATAGAAAATAGATTATTAAGAGCAAAGAAACAAAATCAAAAGTGAAGCCCAACATTAAAACAGTCCTTCATATATGTTAGATTTGTTACCAATACAACTATCATATAAGTATCATTCTTTAATAATAAACAAGTTTTTACCTTCTAACTATATAAGTTGTTGGTAGGTAAAGCTAAACATCCAGATCTAGCAGAGCTTTTGCTTGGAGTGGGAATAGGTCCTGGGTTTGAATCCTGGACGAGACCCCAAATATGTTTCTGTTCTTACATTAAGGTACTGTAGCTCAAGGGACTCATAGCAGTTACAGCTATTTAAAGCAAGTTAAATGAAAAGAAAAATTACAGATTTTAAAAATAAGAGACCTAACCAAAGCAATCAGAATCCACAAGGCCTGGACAGTTTCTTTATTTTAGCGCACTTCCCACACTTTTTGTTGTATACTTTGTCAATACTGCTACATTAAAACACTCAGCCATGACTTTGTTGTGACGCTCTACGTCATGATGTGTCCCTGATTGTTGACATATTTTAGCTGTCGTGTTGTATTGTTGCTACTTCTTGCAATCAAAGCCTGCGAGGGATGGTGACAAGGTGTTTGCTCAAGGAGACAGTGGCAAACAATGCCATTCTTTACTTTATCCTCACACTGTCACATGAAGTGTCTTCTTAAGTCTGTGCACTGTGACACATGCTAACACAAATCCATTAATGTCTAAGCATCAGTAAAGGCACAAACTGTCGTAGCTTAACTCGAGCTTCATTGTGTCTCAGTCCTTGAGATGGCGTGTTCTTCTGTAACTTTGTGGGAGGTCTGACCTCAAATCACCCTGAATGCACCTTTACTGAATGTAGGAAAGTAAAGGTTAAATATGCCAATAGAACAATATTATTGTTGAGACTCATATTAGGCATAGTAAAAGGTCTCCAACCTTTGTTTTGACTTTATTTAAAAGTAACAGCACTCCAAGTTGTATACCTGGTGTTACCATTAGATTAGTTCCTCTAACCTTCCTTAATCCATTTAATATCATTTTTTTATGTTTTGGTTTCATCCAGTCTGAACCCATATAGCTACGATGAGAGCTGCGTGTCCAGTAGCGTTGACCATCTGCCTCTAGCTGCCCTCCCGCTCCTCGCCATCGTGTCTCCACGCTACCAAGATGCTGTGGCGACCGTCATCAACCGGGCCAACCAAGTTTACCACAACTTCCTGCAGTCGGAAGATGGCCAGGGATTCACTGGGCAGGTCTGTATATCTTCATCTGTTGAAAGGAAAGAGGGGTAAACTCTGTCATGTTATTATCAATGAATGTTAGGCCACGACCAAGGAGGTAAAAATTCCTTGATAGGTCGTGTAACCTATAACAAGTGAGGGACTTACAGTAGCTTGTTCAAGGGATTAGATCTCTATTGCCACATATCCCTCTCTTGTAATTGCAATGCTCTTTACGACAACTTGTATTTTCTAACGAGGTAATAATGTGTGAGAAGAATGTTCGCTCAGGAGGTGAATGGAAACATTAGTTTGAGCTCTGGAACACAAAGCCTCTATCTTAAACCATGAAACTATTGTAATTCACAACTACAACAAAACCATTGGACACTTGCTTTTCTTTTTGGAGTATAGTTTTTACATTTCCTGCTGTGGTTCAGCAGCTAGAGTGTCTGTTTAAAATGACAAATTACTCAGGCCTTATTCAGTTATAAGCCTTACTCAAAAATGTCTTGATTAGCTATTTAGATACACAAAATGCCACAAACAAACATTTCTTAGTGATTTTATTTACACTAATACTTCTCATATTTATTTACTTTAACTATTGCAGATGGTATGTTATATTCATTCATTTTATTTAGACAGGTTAATCCCAATGAGCCTCGGGGACTCATTTACAAGAGAGACCTGATTTTAACAAAGATATATATATATATATATATATATATATATATATGATTGTTGTTAAAGTTTTAACTTGGCCTGTTTTTTCCATTATCATCATCTCACCTAATCTGCTCATCAAAAATGATCAGATTTGATTTCTGCTCCTAATTTTTTCTCAACTGTAGGCGGCCATCTTGAATCAGGTTGAGTCCAGAAGTCCGTCACAATTTGTAGGGGTCTTTATTAATAATTGACTTGTCCTCACCTGCCCCCTCTCTTAAAAATGCTCCTGACAACTCCCATCGTAGGAGAAAATTAATTAAGTGATTAAAGTTTTAATAACCGACCCATCTTTTACTCTTTCTTATTTTTATATCATTTACAGTCAAAAATCTTTTTTCACAGTAGCGCACAGTTTTTCCAGCAATTTGTTATTCCACCACATTTGGTTGCTATACTTAATATAGTTTCAGTGCATGGGGCTGGGACGCAGTCACTCATGACCTTCTGTCTCACTGATACACTCATATCAAAGAGTTCCCCTGCTGCAGCAGCCGCTGACTGAAGGCGTTGCACGAAGAGATGGCTGAAATTGTTTTCTGAGCAGGTTTGCCTGATGGGTGACTGTGTGGGCGGAGTGCTGTGCTTTGACGCTTTGTGCTTCAGCAACCACCCGAGGCTGGGCAGCCCCAACAACAACAGCAGCAGGAACAACAGCACCGAGAGCCTGAAGGTAGCCGCTCAGCGATTTAGTGATGACACACATGGATGGTTCACAGGAGGCATGTGTATGTGTAGGAGGGGGGCTTGGATAAACATTTCCCCTGGTACAACATGATTAAAAGATCACTTCAAATGAACAAGATTACACGTTTTGATTATGCATTGTGTTCATTAGTGTTTAAATTTCTGCAAGAGAGAACATACACATTGATGGCAACGTCCTTGGTGCAACTTTGTGCTTTGATTGAACCAAAAGTGATTTTCATACATGAAATCAACCTCACGCTGGGTTTATTTTCTTCTAGATTTTTTCTCTATAATTTGCTTTTTAGCTACACCACATGTGCTCTAGTGACAGAGACTTTGACACAAATTCTTAAAACCCCTAGTATATGTAAAACAGAAGAAATTATTTTAATTCTGTGACTCATAAATTATTTTTGTGGTGAATTTGATGGGGGAACCTCAAGCTTTTTAAGCACCACTTATAACAGTTCCTGCGGAGTACATGTACAGCATTCGTCATACCATTTCAGCTGAAGTGTCGGACTAAAGCACCTTGTTTTTTGTGTCATTTTCTCCCTGTAAAGTGTTGAAATATTCCCATTTTCTCCTTCTCCCCTCTGTCACTCAGATCCACTCACTTCTAACAGATTCGGACACATTTTCTGTCTCCCACACTCAACAGTTCACCTTGAACAACCCATCTACTCACCTCATTTTGTGCAATTTCCAGTCGTGACTGGAGGGTTTGCAGTAAGTTGTTCACTTTCGTCCTTTGCCTCAGGACAACACGGGTCGGCTGGGGGAGTCCAGTCCCAGCCTGAGTTCAAGCAAGAGGTTGAGCAAAAGCAACATCGATATTTCTGCTCCCAATGATAGCCAGAGCGGCCCGTCACTCAGCCGTAAGCAGAGCGACTCGTACGACGGAGACACCTCGTCCACTGGGCAACGCAACTTTTTTTCCAGGTGACACATAAACACAGCCTTAGCATTTCAAATTAATCTCTAGTCTCTGCTGAATTAGAACTAGGTAAGATTTGATTTATTAATTAACATACTTTTTCAAGTAAGGATTTAAACATTGTGATAAAATTAATTTGCTTCCACCTTTATCTTTATACATGAACTATTCACATACGGTGTGAAACATGGGACGCTTCTGTGTCGATATAAATATCTTAACCTTTAAATCTAAACCTGCCCTGCATGACCTTACCCAGGTCTTTAATGGCAAATCTCTGACCCGGAATATGAACTTTCCTAAAGACAGTTTTATTCATGAACCTTCTCTAACTAGAAAAGTTATATTATGCAAAACATGGATATCTTTTGCCATGAAATTGAGAAAAACCTGTTTAATATTGGAATATCTCCAGTATAAAATTGGCAAAATTCAATTCAATGCAAATAGAACAAAGATACATTTTATAGATTCACGATTTAACCTTGTTTTGTAAGCATTGTCATTATTTGCACTATATATGGGAATGTGGCAGCTCAGTGAAGTGGTTTGAGCCCAGTTTGCATCAAAACAGACTCATGTTCTAGCTGCTGTTTAATATACCATAATATTTTACATTATTAGTGGTTAGCGTATATATTAGATCTTTTAGCAGATCGTTTAGCGTTTGTTTAGCATATATCTTAGTGTATGTCTTAGATCCTTATATACCGTTTCTTTTTATGCTTTGTATTTTTGCTATTTCTGAGTGTAACTAGGACTTTGAGTACACAATTTCATTCCACCTCATGTACCACAAGTGATGCGAATGACAATTAAGAACCTTTAACCTTGAAAGGGCATTTGGCATAAACCAGTTGCCAAATCTTTCATGCTGGTTCATTCACTGTGGCAAACCCTGCTTAAGGGAGCAGCCGGAATGAACTTGCGTTATTATCATCACCATACACACACCCTCACATGGACGACAGAACCACAGCAAACAAAACTTAGAGGAAATTAAAACAAGTTATAAGCTAGAAAACCATATTTCAGCATTTGAACTTCATAAAGTTCATGGATAGCTTGAATGATAGATACTGTAGCGTATTATGGATTGTGATAGATCCTGATGTATAGTGGCCTGTCGTCTAGATTTTTCTGTAAAGTGTGACCCTGTCTGACTCGTGCCATTTATCAATATTTGCAGCTTGAGTTCCTTGCCTGCCTACCTGTCTCAGACGAGGTATAAATAGCCATTTGCACTCACGCCAGACAGTCTGAGAGAAACCGAGCTCTGCAGGGTAATTTAGCTGAGCGTAGATGGGATGGAAGAATTGCGATGGACATGTTTACTCTGACCAAGTACCGGTGACCTGTTCTTCATTTCGAAGTCACAGGCTCCTCTAGGCGTACCCCATCATAGCATTCAAGGGCACTTTAGGATTCTGTCAATCCCCAGCAAAGCCTCACAGTTTATGATGGCACACCTCTCACTTTTCACTCCTTCCTACACTCCTTAAGTCTGAGCAAGGCAGCATAGAGAATATACCTCCACTGTTTTTTCTTGCACAGATCTTGTTCCCCATCACCGAGTGAGCTTATTAACTCTTTCTTCATTACATTAATCTTCCTGTCTTGAATAGAAGTCTACCTCTAGTTAGGAGTATTTACTTGTGCACCTTGTTCTTTTTGCTCCTGGCTTCTAAAATCACTCAGATGATGTGCAAATGATCATATTTCTGCTTGTATAAAAACTTAGAAAGATGAGTTTGGACTGCAAGAACTATGATGATTTTTTTTTTAATCAGAAGGAGAGAAAATGCTCTTTTCTGTTATCCTAATTATACTCTCACCAAGTTTTGTTGTACTTGTTTGTTGGAAATAATTCCTTTAAAATTGTCAAGTAACTTAAACTGTGTGGATGTTTTTCTGCAGTGATACAATTTTTGGTACAAATCAGTGGACTAGTGACACAAGAGAACAAAAAAAAAACAACAACAACAACTAAAAAAAAGCAGCAGAAAGCAATCAAAGAACTATTGATTTGGCTTTTACAGATGGCTGGAGACTGCTGGCTAATCCTCCGTCCTCCGCATGCAGGTCTTAATGGGGGAATGTTGGTGAGCTGTTAAGCAGAGGGATGGAGTCTGTCAGCAGCAAAGGATGTGGCTACAACTGGCTCGGCTGTTTAAACAGCTGTCGGTGTGATGCAGGCTGTTCAGGCGGAGTGTAGAGCTGCTGCTCGAGCTGAGTCATAAAGGCTCTGTGCTGACAGCTATAACAGAATGATAAAACTAACCAGCCGACGTTTGAATGAGGGCGAGGCAAAAGGATTTCTGAATCCTCTGTGCCATAACAGAACATTTACTTCCTGCTGCAGCTTTCAGTTTATTGATTTCTAAAATGTCAGATTAACCCATATGCTGTATTTAGCACCTGCCACCAAAGCAAAAGAGCGAGGATGTTTTTGTCTTTGTGTATGCATCTGTTCATTTGTCGGACAAACCACTGGGCAGATTCTAATGAAGTTCTCAGGAAGTAATCATTGGATGCATATCTACACCTGATTAACTTTTGAAACTAGTCCAGTTCAAGATGGCTGACCCAATTAAGCATTAGCAAACACAATTTTACAAACACTGAGCCAGAATTTGGTGGGTTAATGGCTGAGAGTCGTATTCAACTTATATCCTGAGGACTAACTGACAAGATTTGTTACTCAAGATGTGTACACAAGATTTGTTTTTAAAATGTTGCCTCCAATTATTGGCATCAACAGTCTTTTAGTCAAAAAAAAATATTATGAACCATTTTCTGCAAGTAATCACTGAGTATACATCTACAACTGATTACCTTTTTGTAGTCAACCCTGCTCAGATTTATCTACATCCAGCTAAAGTTTGATGTGATGCCAGCAGAGAGTCATTCACAACACATACTGAGAGCGCTAACAGATTGCAAGATATCACAATATTGTATAAGACTGTTATGGCATATAACCCCATCCCATCTCACCATAAGAAGATCCTCTGGAATAAATGTTGGCGGACAATATGCGTTCCTCCAAGAAATTCAAGGCCTTTATTTAAAATTACATATTTTATTGTACACAAATCCTATAACCTAGACTCCGTCAGCCTTGTTTATTTAACTGAAATACAGTAGTCCCTCGCTACTTTGCGGTTCATTTATCACAAACTCGTTCTATTGTAGTTGTTCAAAATAAGATTAGACATGACACACAATTGGCCGATTGATGGATGAGCCGCACGATCGGCATGAAATTTTCATTTATAATGAATTATTTTAAATTATTTAGCACCTGCTGCACATTTGTGCAGCCCACACTGCAGGATAAACTTCACGTTGCAGCTGATCAGCTGTTCGTGCAGAGCGGCGAAGTGGGCGTGGCCAAGAGCGCTTGCAGGTGTCAAAGAGCAGAGGAGGCAGGGAGCTGAAATCATGACATTCTGTGCTCTTTTAGAGCGTTTAGAGTTTAGAAACATTGTTTAGAATATTACAAGAGTGTGGGAAGGGTTTAAAACACACATGTATGTATATAAAATAAACTACTACTTACTACTTGTACTAATATTCCTACTTCACAGTTTTTCACCTATTGCGGGTCTTCAGGGTACAGATCCCCTGCAATAAACGAGTGACTACTGTACTCTGAAATGGTCAGAACACAGTGTGTTCAGTGTGTATAATCTTGTTCAAACAATTAAAGTTTCAGTTTTTTTATTTGTTTACCAATATTTACTCTTTTGTTGTTGTTGCAGAAATCAGTTTCCATATTAAGCCTTTACCATGTACTTCCGCCTGAAAGTAAATAAAAGTTGTGAGGCTTCATCCAGAATTAAGCCACGTCCACCAAGTCAAGTTTGATGCAGATAGCTGTATATCTAAACAAGCAGGGAGTCATAAGGGACAGAACACTTTGGTTTGATTTGTACTGTAAATACAAAAACATGACGTGCTTTATGTTCCCTCCCCAGTCTGATGAAGGAGAGTGTGGAGGTGCGAGGTGGCAGCAGCATCAGTCTGGAGTTGAACCCTGGTCGTTTCGACTTTGAGGTGTCAGACTGTTTCCTGCTGGGCTGTCCTCTGGGCCTGGTTCTGGCCATGAGACGCACTGTGCTGCCGGCTGTTCAGGGTAAGAATCGCACCCGCAAACTAAACATGAAACACCTATCTTATTTATGCAGCACATACACAAACTTAACATCGCTTTACAGTAAAAGACCAAATAGGCTATAATAAAGTGATAAATAAAGATACAATAAATAATTAAATGAAGCTAATAATGTTTATAGTGAAAAGAGCAACACTAAAAATAAAACTCCTTACTCGCCCTTCAAAGATTTTGTCTCTGTGTTTCCATTTCCTCAGTGAGTCAGCTTCGTCCGGCCTGTTCTCAGATCTTCAACCTGTTTTATCCCTCGGATCCGTCAGCCTCCAGACTGGAGCCGCTGCTGCAGCCTCTCTTCCACAAGTTGCCACCATTTGCAGTGCCGCGCTACCAGCGCTACCCTCTTGGAGATGGACGCTCGCTGCTCATTGGTAAGATTGGAGATTCAACCCCGGAAATCAATTACCTTGTGACCAAAAAGCCTCCTGTCTTGAATATTTTACATCTTAATCTATGTTTTGGTGTAATTATATTGTCATATCAATGGCTCTTTGAGATTTGCATTTCAAAGCTGATGTGAAAGCTTTAAGGAAATGTTTTAGTGGGACTACATTTTCATAATGTGAGTTCTCTGAAGTGCACATGTTCACAGATATGGATGCAAAACACTCACAGCTTTAATCCCATCTAATGAGTTTGTCCTGCAGAGGCAGAGGTAAATCCTACCTAAAGCCCAATGTTTGAAGTAATTAGACATCATTTTCTCAGGATGACGCACCTTCAGCCTGACATTTTTCAGGTAGAATGACCAGGTAGAATATGTGAAATATTAGTTTGGTTGATAAATGACACCACACTGCTGTAATCTCCCTGGGAGGCTTAGTTGTACAGACTGAGTCCTTAATGAGCTGCTGATTTATTTGAAGCATGGTTTAGCTCACTTTTGGGACATAGAGACCGTCTCTAAACAGCAGTCATGATGCATCGCTTGTTTCCTGTGCTTCTGCAACCACCTACAGAGAGAAAAAGTAGAACAAGGACCAGTCATTTGTGCCCACATCCTCCAAGCCTGATCCTAAATATGCAGATACGGCTTTGCATCGTTATGAAAATCTTGTAGAAATAGGGTTTTAATAGTGTTGTGTGTTTGTTTAAAAGATTTGTGTGATGTGTGTCGTTTAGAAATGTACAGAATTATTTTTCTTTTCTCGTTTCGTTTATTAAACGGCAGAGACTTTTTCAAATATGGACTCACTTCCATTCATTTCTTTTTTCCCCACTTGAGGCTGTTGGAAAGTAGCTGTTTTTTTTTTTTGTTGTTGTTGGTTTGTTTTTTGAAGTGTTCTTTGGTCTCCAAAACATCTGAAATAACTCATTGTGTTCCTCAAGAACCAGTTTTAGGACAATTGTTTTAAATGCATTTATTAAGCCAAAAAAAAAAAAGAAGAACCACCATTCTGCCCTCTGTCACTTTTGAACAACCTAAGCTGACGAAGCCTCCTGGATATTTTTATGAGGAAAAAAAATGAACAACACAACGGCAAAAATATGTACACTATGCTCTATGGTGACAGTTTTTCTTTAGCTTGAAAGCATCATCCCTCAGATAGGTAAAATGTTGATGTTTAGATGCTACCAAATGTTTTACAACTTAAACTACGTAAATCTGTTTTATAGTATTTCTTGAACTCAGACAGAAAAACATGCCCCAAAATGAAATTCACCTGAATTGAACTTCAAGCCATCAAACAAGAAACTTTTAACTCCGCTTTGAATCTAAAGACTGCTGAGATTTTCTCTGAGTCTGCCTGATACCACCTGAAACATTTTGGCCTCTAGTGAGGTACTAATGAATGTGTTTTTATTGAGTAAGCTCAACTGCTGTAACTTTCTGATGCATGGTCTGTACATTATAAACCAAAGAGATGTTGTTTTCAAACAGGAAGTCCGTACCAGCAGACCTTCCTTCTGTCATATCTACAAATGGTGTTCCTATTGAGTTTGTGGATTCTTACAAATACTTGAGCATTTTCGTCAATTCACATCTCTCTTTTAAGCCCCACATTGAAAACTTGGTAAAGAAATAGAAAGTAAAACTGGGCTTCTTTTTCAGAAATAGATCTTGTCTTACTCTGAATGTTAGGAAACGTCTTGTAACTTCTACTTTCCTTCACTCCATTGACTTTGGTGACATTTTTTACATGAACACCCTAAGCACCCTGCAGATGTTGGATGCTGCCTATCATGGTGCGCTAAGATTCATAACTGGCTGTAACTACCGTACTCATCACTGCACCTCACTGGTTAACTGGGCATCATTAACTTCACGCAGACTCTCACTGGTACATTTTCATCTTTAAATCACTTCTTGGTCTGTTGCCTTCATACATCTCCTCCTACATGTCACTTTGTGAGTGCAGCTACAGCGTGCACTGCCAAGACATAATTACCTGCAGCGTCCCCTCAGTGCGGTCTGAATTTGGCAAAAGGGCCTTCTCCTGCTCTGCTCCTGTTTCCTGGAACACCTTGCAAAAAGATCTGAAGCTCTCGACCTTGACTTCTCTAAGGGTTAACTAATGCAGACATGTTTTTGTTTTTAATATCTTACACCAAAGTCCATGCTCAATAATCCAGGTATAAAATCCAACAATGTTCAGTCAGGTCATCTGGACAGTTTCTTGTTTTTGTGCTGAGACGTTTCACCCTCCATCCGGAAGGTTTCACTAGTCCGAGGAAACAGCAAACAAAACTGCTTCTCCCCCAACAGCTTATTCCAAAGTGGAAAAAAAGAGAGAGCAAGAGCATGCCCCGTAGACCATCTTAGCACCAACATTTGTTCCAGTTCCTCGGACTAGTGAAACCTTCCAGATGGAGGGCAAAACGTCTCAGCTCAAAAAAGAAACTGTCCAGATGACCTGACTGAACATTGTTGGAGTATCTTACATCATTTTATAATGTTGCATATTTTTTTAAATTTTCTTTTTATACACCTTCTTTTATATACTTTTCATTTTATATGCTTTCATATGAATGTTTACTGTTGTGTGTACCTCATTTATGTTTTTTTGTTTAAAACAGGTCCCTCTTGTAAATGAGTCCTCATGACTCAATGTGACTAACCTGTTTAAATAAAAGTTAAATTAATTAACACACTTCAAGCCAACAATAGTTAATTTAGTTATGGCTGAGGGATTTACAAAGATTTAACAGGAAAACCTGTTGCACATGTTGTATCTAATCTACAACCTGTTAGTAACCTGTTAGTTACTATAGATTGTTTGTTTGTTTGTTTGTTTGTTTGTTTGCTTCAGAATATGTTCCAAAAGCTCACATTGTATGAGCCATGGGCTGTCTGTGTTTTAGTTTTCCAATGTGCACCAAACTTTGGTGCTGCAACTTTTAGGAGATTGCCTGCATAAACAGCTAAAAGTGACAAACAGGAACAAAAACTATATAATTTATACTTGTTTAAGAATAAATATTCAGTAGTGCACTGGTAACATGTTCAATTAATCAAATAATTAAATATTTTTTGTTATTTTTAAATGGAACAAGTGTAAAGTTGCTGGTAAAAATCAAACCTGACAAGACTACCATGGAGTCATCTTCATTTATTTTTCTCCGTAAACATTTTACCTGGGTTCTTCTTCTTTTTGTCTTTTTTATATATGATTGTTTTCCCATATCAAAAGGACATCTACTCAAATATACATAGTTACTTTATTGTAAGAACATAATTCATTTAGTCAAGAATTTACATACAGATAAAAACAGGTTGATGATATAATTCTTTTTTGTCATAAATTAATTATTTAAATACTCCTTAATGTAAGGTTGTTTTGTACTTCAACTCTAAAAATGGTTTAATTACTAAGTAATTTGTTAAACCTGCATCGATCTAATACATTCAATGCGTCAGTCTCATTTAGTTTGTTTAAACATGAACCTCGTGAGTGATCATGATCTTCTTTGAAAAAAACTAAGTCATGCACACCTTTTTTTTTAAATCTGCCTAATTTGGATTCCCAAGTTCTTGTTTTTCTTTTATCTAATGACATCATGTTCAGCCAGTCATGAAGCAGGAAGCGTGATGCTTCTCAAAGCCGCTGGTGCTGATAAAGGTTGTGGAGAGGAACATCAGACAGAGCCCTGAGCTCACTGGGTTGTAATTATGGGTCTGCATCACGGCTCCATTGATCAGACTCTTATGCTGTCAAATTAAAAACCATAGACAGGTGCAGTCACACAGGAGAAACTGTGGCGCACATCAGCCATTTCCTGCTCTCTAATATAGTAATTAGTGGTTATGATGCGTAGAGTGCCAATACAATCAGGCTCCTGTGAGAATGGCTTTGACATCCGCACCCTTCAACTGTGGAGCTTTAATTATGACGAATGCTGCTAATACGAAGAGAATGAGCCTCTTTCCTATTGATTTCCAGTTTCAGTCCATTGGGAAATATGCTGGTCCAAGACATGCAGCTCACATGGAATCATAGTGGCATCCATCAAGTTTGATTGCATGTCTTCAGGTGTCCTAATGTAAAAATTACAATTGCAATTATGTTTTCTCTGTATACATTCTCTGTTCAGTCGTACCGTCATCTGTTTCACTCTTCCTTGCGTTCAGCTTTGTGTGTGTTTCACAAAACATGTCAGCGGCCTCCTCTCTAACTCTTTGTCGGTGTCAAGAGTAATATATCTGCCTTTCTCTGCTCACTGTGTTGTGAAAAAATAAACTGAATAGTCAAATTTTTCCACAGACTGATAGAAAATGATGCTCCTCAGAGGTTTGAGGCAGGGTGCGTTATTGAAAACATGTCATGTGGATGATGTGCAGATAAGATAATGTATTGAAAGTATTAGAATGAAATTGCAAATATCCATCTCAGTGGTACTGGCATATTTTTGATTAAATCATACACAATAATTATCAAGGGATGTAAAAATGTAAAAAACAACATGAAACATGATATAAAAACGGCTATACATGTGTATGTGTGAGCATGCACTATATGTTAAAGTAATAGTGCTTTCATTGGTATAAAATTATTATTATTATACATAAAAATATAGTCCTTGTATTTGCCAAAATACAATTCTGATTTATGATTAAATGCAGTGTCCCGTGGGGAAATTTGTTATCAGCTTGGTGCTGTCCCACAAAGTACCTGCACAAAAAAAATCCCTAAATAAATAATTTCAGAAAGTACACGATACACACAGTCTATCAGCAAGGCCCATTCCACAATTACCATTTTGTAAGATACATATATATATATATATATATATATATATATATATATATATATATACCGTATTTTCAGGCGTATAAGTCAGTTTTTTGCATACAGTCCTGCGACTTGTACGCCGAAGCAACTTATGTACGTTTTTTTTAATATTCATAACGCAATTTTTGACTGACGCTTTA